ATTTTTGGATATTGTTGACTGATAGGATTTTTGGATACTGCTGAGGATTTGTTGAGAGCAATAAACCCGTGGGCCAGGTCCCTGTACCTTCCCTCCTCTTTCCACAGTCTCGTGGACTTTCTTGAGGAAATCCCTCTCCCTGCAGCGTTTGGAGTCCCTGATGGTGGTGGCATAGGTGGATTCAGTGATCAGCAGATCAGGACGGCATTTATCAATCCAGGCAGCTCTGAAAAGAGGGAATTCAAACCAAAAATCACAGCAGGAAATTAAATTCTACATTAAAACACTCATCTGGATAGCAGAGATGTTATAAATCTCTCATATAATATGCCAGTGAAAATATATATATGGGAGATTATAATATTATAACACATAAGTGTTGAGGTTTGTGGTTAATAATCTCTTAGAAAATAAAAACACTATGAAAAACCATTTCAAACATTGAAACCCAACTGCTACACAGCCCTAAAAATAGATTAATGTGAATATTCAGATTGCATTAAGGTCTGTGTGGCAGGTTTAATGTAAATATGTTCACTCTCACAATTCAAAATTGCATTTCTATTTCCAGCAGAGACATCATTAAATACTCCAGAGAATTAAAGTTGAGAAGTCTCTACTATTAACAGCAGTTGTGCTGAAATCTTCCAGTCAGAAATCCTCAAAACTCACAGAAATTCAGCTTTTCACTCACCCCAAGTGTCTGTCTGGTGTCATGTTATAATCACCCTGAGGGGAGAAGAGAACACCAGTGATATTTCTGATAAATATCTGGGAATATTTCTAGCTAAAAAAAAAAAAAAAAAAAAAAAAAATCCTAATAATTATTTTAAATAAAGCTTTAATTCTTTTCTTTCTTATAACAACTTCACGATTTCTTTTCTAATAATTATTTTATTAAATAAAATAATTCTAAAGGTGGGCATACTCACAGTGTACACCACGGATTCACAGCCAACCTTGATCTGGAACATGGCAGCTCCCAGCACGTGCCCTGCATAGTAAGCCTTGATCTCCAGCTCCTCATCCACCTGCCCCAACAGCAAAACCCTTCATTAATGCCAATATTTTCAATTTAAAATTAGGTTTTATGTGTGCAGCAAAGCCCTTTCACCTGCACTGTCTGGTGGAGGTGCACAGCCACCACTTTCTTCATGCAGTCTTTGATCATCTGGGAGGTGAAGAAGTTGGTTTCCCCTTTCTTGTCCACGGTGATTTTCCTGTAGTCCTCCAGCAGGATGGGGCAGATGGCCTTGGTGGGGTGGGTCATGTAGATGGGGCCATCATAGCCAACCATCTCACTGAAATAGGGCAGGGCCCCACAGTGGTCCAGGTGGAAGTGGCTGAAAAATTAAAAAAAAA